GCCAAACCTACTTCTAGGACGCTCCACACCGGCTACGTGGGCATAGCTAGCTGGCCTATTCTCCATAGTGTGGAGCCGCGCTTCTTAGTCTGTGAGCCTCGCCTCCAATGCTGCTAGCATCTGACATTTATTACAAGTACCATTATCGCTAAAGGAGGCAAAGGAATAACTGAACATGCGACACTCCAAGCAAGAGAAAGGAGGAGAGGAAGAGGGGGAAGCCATTGCTCTCGATTAAGCTACTAGCTTAGCTAGCTTCTAAACTAGCCGACCTAAAGTAGCAACTTAAATTTGGTAGTTAGCAAGAACTTCTGCAAAACAAGTGCTTTAAGTGGTGTAAGCGTATGTTGTCAAAAGATGCAAAATGAGCACAAAGACTTACAAAACAACCTCAGAAAAAACAAGTACAATAGACCACAAAAAGACACAACAGGACTAAAAACAGAAGCAAATTATCTCAAAAAGAAATGCCCAATGGCCACAGATAAACAAAGCCCTTAAAAGGAGACACAAAACGAGCACATAGACATGAAACAACAAAATGTGGGTGCAAAAAGACCACAGAGATGCAAAATGACTAAAAAGGAACACAAAACTCTGTTTCCATCTGTTGGTCTTGCTTCTATAAAGGAGACTGAGGGGCCTAAACATGGGCCCAGGGGCCCACAGTCTGCCCAGGAGAGTGCTGATACCACACTGGAACAACAGGCACTTACATTGCTCTGTCTTGTCACAATCTCCCTGACCAAAGAACATGCTCATAGTACTAGTAGTTTATCAAGAAAGTCGGTAGGTTTCCAAAAAATACAATTAATAAAGTCAGTTCTAATTAATAGGCAAAAGTACACATCTGAGCACATCTACACTAAATCTAATCAGAGTATCTTCACTATATGGGGACCTGTGGTATAAAGTTAGCCTTGTATCAATTTGAATTTGTTGCTTAAATTATTAAGGGGTTACAGCAACTTCAGGGAAGCGCTTTTAATCATTAATATGTACATTTATGCAGCAAGCTTGCCAAAATCTAACCAGACCAGCTACTCCATCTGTGGCGGGCTATTTATGATGCAAGAGCTTTCTATCATTCCTCAGTTTATGCGTTCACAAGAGTGTGCCTACACAGTCAGGTCAAACGTGCACCTTCTTCTACTGTGAAGTCTAGTCTTTATTATTTTCATCTTCATTTGTCTCTCAACATGCACAAACACTAAAGTGGTAAAATGGCGCCGCACACTGGCCAACTGTGTCAACTGCATCTCCACACACTGAAACGTCCTCACCTGTGCAACGTGCATCTATGAATAAATGCATGCGTGCTAAATGTGCACGGTCATTAAAAAGGTGACGTTAGTGATATGAGATATAGTCCAAATGCAATATCAAATAGGATTTTATTTACATAAATCTCTTTTTAAAACAAAAGGCAAAATGAACAGCTCTTACTTTTTTAAAAGTTTTCAAAACAAAGTCCTTCACAGCTGTCAAACAGCTTTCTAATCAAATTAAACCCCATCTCTGATCATCAACAACTTAATGGATTTCTTACAGCTTATTTTCTGCAACTAGTAATTAACAGTAATGAACAGGAGTTGGTAGTCAAAGCCTTAAGACGGTCAGGCTGTGGAAGTCTAAACAGTGGAACACTCCCGAGTTGTGCCTGAAAGCTTTTTAAGAAGTCACAGTCACTTGGGGGTCCATGTTGGCCGAGCTGTACTGTCAGAGATGGGTGAAACATCACTCTGTGCCAGTAGTTAAAGATTTAGGATCAGTGGTCAGCAGAACAGAATGGAGCAACTGCTTCTCGTCGCTGGACGTTACAACAAATATCACAGCAGCGAAACGGCAGCATCTTTGCAACTCCTTTCTGCAGCCCGTTTTTTTTTTTTTTTCATGGATTGGAAATTTTTCATCTTATTCAAAGTGCTCTTCCAGCCCTGCAGCAGGACCCTGAGACTAGAAACAGTTAGATTCTTCAGAAAGGTGCAGTCATCATGATTTGTTGCCTAAGATGTACAGAACAAGAAACTGCAGTACCGCTCTAACAAAATGATAACGGACATGTAAAACAAACAATGGTACTTTTTCCTTTTGAACCTTATGCGAGTGCTTACGATGTCTGGCAGACAAACCACTGCTCAACACCAGCACTCTTACCACAAACAGCTTCAGGGTCCAAAACAAGCATTTAATCAAATACTGCTTTCTGTGAAGACAAATGTGGAAAGTATCATTTCTGGGAAAACAAAATCATTGGAAAACACGATTCCTTTCCTAAAGGAGACAGTGTGCACGTGTTTATGTACAATAATGTACACAAATGTAAGAGAGGTCACACAAGGGACCAGTAGTAAGTAATGACAGAGGTATATCAATGATTACAGTAGCAAGTCACCTCTGTTTCTCTCCTGTTGCTGCAGAGCTGATGGAAAGCTGCTTCACTCTCCCGCTCTCAACAAGTTCATAAGTCCTGTATTCAAATTCATTAAAGACAAAACTGTTGAACCAGTGTACCACAAACTTGAGCTGTGATCGATCTGCAGGTCAGGGTCCGAGTGCCCTCGCGGCTGCTTTAGGAAGACGACGTTTGAGAGAGTCTAAATCGACGTTTAGTGTGCAAAACTGACTGTGGAACTAATGAACTCCACTGACGTATGACAAGAGTAACCCAACTGAAACCTGGGAGCCAAAAAGAAAAGGTATTCTTCAGAATCTGACAACACAGCTGGAGAAAGTAGTGACAGTAGGTTACACATGGAAGAACACGCAATGTTTCTCAGCTCAAATCTCGTCTTTCTACAAACAAGTCACTCCTGACTTGCTGACTGATTAAAGCATCAATTTGTTTAGCTGCTTCACAGTTTTGTCGCTAAAAACACTCCAGCGTTTTCCCTATAATGCACTGCGAGGGAACATGAACTGCATCTTTAAGACATCGTCTAAAGCACATTACATGTCGGCAGGTACGGACATGACCACATATATTCTCACACACACACACAAATACACATTAGGGCTACATAAGTGACAACATCTAAACAGAGTGGTGATGAAGTGGGGCATCTTGTCTTTTCTCTGAGGAAAATGATGTGTCCACAGCTTGCTCAACAAGCTGCTGCAGAAAATGGATTATTTTATTTCAACGTACCAATGCATGTTGGCACTGAGCCACTGGGAGATAAAGATAACCTGTGCAGAGACAGCTGTGTCCACGAGGCAAGATTTGTATGAGGGTCTCTAATTCTGTACTACATAAAAAAAACATCATGCAGCCCCAGCGTGCGCACATGCACACACACATACAGAATGAGAGCAGCAGTTTCCATGAGTTTCTTCTCATGAGCCCTTTAGAGTAAAATGCAAAATCAAACAAAAAGACACTAACAAGAAAACAAGAATGGCATCCCTGATATTTTTCAAGAACAAATTAAGATACTGAAGTAATTTAAATTTATAACTTAAATATATGTATATTTTTCAATAAATTTTCTGGTCACTCCTCAGTGGAGTCTGTGTCATCATTGATATAGTCTTCTTCTACTGGCGTGCTGCCATTCTGAGTCCCCCACTCCTCTTCGTCATATTCTATACTGTCGTTGTCCTCCAGCAGCTCATTATCAAGCTCTCCTGCAGCCGGCGCACCGGCTGCTGCTCCCCCCGCCCCCGGCGGTGCTGCGTAGCCCCCGTTGTTGTTGGAGAAGGCTGCTCGGTCTCGACTCTCCTCCTCGACGTAAACTCTCTGGTGGCACATGGGACATGTGTCCTGAATGTAGAGCCACTTCCTCAGGCACAGAGCATGGAAGTAGTGGTGGCAGGGCGTGATGCGGGCTGACATGGCAAACTCCTGGTAACAGATGGCGCAGACGTCCTCAATGTCCCTCAGCTGGTCCCCACGCATTTCTGGCAGGGAGTTGATTTTTTTGACAGCTGTGCGGCGGTTGATGAAGGTCTTCCATCCGTTCTTGGCCTGCAAGTAGATATTGAAGTAGGCGTGCAGGCACATCATGCAGGCGCGGATCTTGCTGCCTGACTCGAACATCATGGTGTAGGCGCCGTTTCCGAACATAATGACGCCAAACAGGAACTCTATGATATTGCCTGTGGAGCGCACGTAGTAGACGTAGTCATCCAGCTTCTCCCACAGGACGTTAGAGAAGCCATCGGCCATGAAGAGGCCATAGACCGTCAGTGACACCATCACCTGGAGGGAGGGGGACGCAGATGATGTTTTACAGAGTACAACAACTAACAGCAACATGTGAGAGATCAGCAGGGAAGCTACTGAGATAAAATGAAAGGAATGAGAACAGCCAACATGCACCTGTAGTCACACCACACATACATGTGTCAAAATACGCCACCGTCCTCCTTCCTAGAAGACACAGTGGAATGTGTGGCAGCAGTTTTTAATTTACAGGGTGCAAAGCAGAAGAGATGGTGAACATCCATCTTACTTCACAGGATACAGTCTTATGCAAAAGTTTAGGCACCCCTTGATAAATAACAGATTTTGGTGATTTTTTATTTGAACAGATGTTAACACAGTTTCTCTTGGAAATGGAAAAAATGCACAATATTTTCAGCAAACAGTGATGCATAGTTACTTCTTATGCCATAAATTGAACAAAAATAAAAAATAAAAACATTATTATGGCATGGTGCAAAAGTTTGGGCACCCTACACAATCAGTACTTAGTAACACCTCCTCTGGCAGATATCACAGCTTGCAAA